TAGTGCAACGAACAAAGCAGCAATAACAACAACAAACGAAAGTAAAGAGGAGTACTATAAATGTACATATAATCACACTAATTGTTAAAATTGCGATACACAAGAAGTCCTATCCTGATCTAATACATAAAAGATCTGAAGAAATGTTACTACTGACGGATATAAGAAATACCCGTGCGTGGTCACCATGCTCATCAAGCTCAGTCACCTGTATCGATTCGGATCTTTCATCCTACGACATAATTAAGTGACCAGAATATACAAAAATACATGCGACACAATTAGATGCAAAAAATGTTGTTATCCATGTAGTTGTAGAAGGCTGAAAGCACAAAAATATAAGATATAATTTAAATAATATTTAAAGATAATATTAACTTTATTAATGAAAAGTTTATTGATTTATAAAAATAGTATTAATTTATCAATGACAATTCCATTCAATTAATTCTATTCAAGAATTAAAAATTCAGTCAAATTTTCAATTTAAGACTCAGTTTAAAACTGTAATCAATAAAATTAAGTGAAATACAAAATGCAAACTTACATCGTGGATCTAAAACAATGCTAGGTCCTTTTCATAGAACAGAAAAAAAGGAGAATGTGGAACCTTTAATAAAATATCAATTATTATAATTTATTGTGAGAAACACGGTGGTTGTTAAAAAAATTTGAAATAATGAAATAAAAAATGAAAAAAAAATGAAACTTTATTTTTTAATTTAATAATAAATGAAGGAATAAAATTAATTATGCATTGTAAAATATTTTCTAATATTGTCTAATATTTGAAATTCTGTACATTCTGTACATATAGAATATTCTGTACATTCATCATTAGAGATTCAAATATTCTTCGTATAAATCGAATATGGCGCGCTTTCTTTGTCGGTTAAACAATGCTACGCAAAAAACTCGATGCGCAGAACCTGTTTAAATTTGTCTCTAAATATCATCAATGATTATGATTGAATACTAAAAGAAATCTTATTAATTATCTGATAAAGAGGAAAAATAAACGTCTCCCTCCATTAATACGAATCAAACATTAATGTGAATCAAACGCTGTTTATCATGAGTCATCCTTTTCAATTTTCCAACTTTAAGATTTCCCTCGCAATCAACCAATAATCTGTTTAAAAAAATCTAGAACTTTCAAATAAATGTGTAAGGATGAAACTTATTAATCGATAAAGATCAAATATTTTTTTAAAAGCTCACAATACAAGTTACCGGTAAATATGACAACCGAAAAACGATCAAAGAAAAGATTTACTTACAAATTATAATAAAATTTTATAAATTTAAACAGAAACGTATATTAATTAAATGCTGTTAACAGCAGCATGATAATGAAAATATTACACAGGTAATTACAAACAACACGCGGAGACACACGTCTTAACGCCATAATCTTAGACAATGGACTAATCCTCCGCACAACAAGTTTACGTCACGAAGTGGAATGGGAGTTCCACGAATAGGATTTGTCTAATTTAGGAAAAAGGAAAATGAACCAATCACATAACCGCATAGATTTGTATATGAATATTTACAAAAGCATTTCTACGCGCGCTAATTGAATTGAATTCAAATAGAATTTATTAAATGTATATTTAATAAATAGAAATAGAATATACTTAAAAATAGTGCTTTTATAGTTGCATTTTTTAATAGTTTTTATTTTATATTAAAAATTTTTATTTTATATGCTATATTAATTCTATAAAAATTTTCGTAATAATATTAAAAACCAATCTGAAAACATAGTATGTAAGAACTATAGTGGAATGGATAATATATATATATATATATATATATATATATA